GCTATGTGTTATTGGGTCAAACCTGGAAGTGGTTGATGGTACGATTATGTATAAATGCTATTTAATTTGGCATCATTCTAATCGGAGTTGGGCGGCTACATATTCCTTCTCTTGCCTTTCTAGTGGAATTCTTAATCTTTTCATATGTTTTACATACTTTCTCAGATGTCTTTTTCGTTGAACAAATCGAGGTTGGGTAGCTACTCCTTCCATTTTAAACATCTAAAAAAATAGTGATCATGAATGTACAGGGCAACCGGCAACGGGTTTTGTTGATCATAGCCATTATTTGCTCAGAGAAAAATGAAAATGACAATAGATTGATTGTCGAAGATTTCATATCATATTAAAAAATTATTTTAATCTAAGTGATTATATTAAATAGATTTTTCATTTGAGTGATTAAAAGGAAAACGAAACAGGCCGAAGAGATCGTTTAGGTACGTAACTAAAGGGAATTCAAGGTTTTTTCTGTCAAGTCTCTCCTTGTGGCACAGGGGTTCAGCGTATCTGTCCAGCTAGTAGCTAGCCACCGTGCTGTGACCTTAGCATTGCTGTCAAATCTCTGTCGACTTTCAGAATCTAGCTACGTGCATGGGATAGAATGTAAACCAGATGAAAAAATTAATCAAGTCGTCGAGTTGAAGAAAAGTTAGATGTGAATCTTAATTTTATGGTTCAATTGTGGGCCCAAAATGGGATTCCATTCCACACTAAATAACTAGTAGGATTATTAACCGAATTGGTCTGTCAGCTCCGGTTTGAAAATTAAAGTAAGCAGCAGTGATAGCATGTTTGATCATCTTCCTCTGCACCAGGAGCAGTCATTGGGAACTTTGAGCCCAAGCAAAAAAAAAAAAAAAAAAAAAAAATTAAAAATATATATATATAAGATTGAAACAAAAAAGTGAAATATGCAGGACTCTTAGTGTTAAAAAATAATATAAATGATATTATGAGGTTCTACCCGATAGTTTAAGCTTTTAGGTAAGATCGTCCTTTACTATGATATTATTAACCTATACAACTTTCAAGTTTACATGTTAGGGCTTTCACTTGAAGAGATGTGTTAAAGAGTAATATAAATTATATTATAAAGCATCACCTAACAACTTAAGCTTTATAGTTGGTGGCCCCTTCTCAACTTTATAGATAATTTATTATTGGTCTAACTATTTAATATGCGATACGTTCTAACAGCACTGTCATGACGTAAAAAAAATGCTTATGCTAATTCAATGGCTAGCTAGTGAGCATCACGGAGCATATGTACGTACATATATGGCAGCAGGCCTTTAAAACCCAAGCTCACGAATGAAAACCACTGGAAATCCCAGTTCATGAATTTTTTTCCCATAAATTAATAGAAACTCACAAGAACAACTTGAACAAAATAAAACAATGTGAAATGGAGTTCGAGACTGATCGGCTGATTGTGTTTCTACAGACACCCAGAAAGACAAGAAAGAAGGGTTTTGCTTATATTTGTCAATCAAAAGTGAATTCAGGATTAATTAGCGCTTCCATTGGAAATACAGTATTGCTATTCCTCGAGAAGAGAGTGCAGTTGCAAATACCTTAATTAAGAATAGTCTTTATTTTTCATCTTCTTGTAAATTTTATTGTGGTCACTTATAGGTCTCAGCGTTATAAACTTGTGGACTAACAGCGGACAACTTTCTTATTCAATTAATCTAATATATATATTGGTATTCATTGCAGATTCCATGCATGCACCTTCTCCAATCATTCAATGAATTGGCCTACTTCGGGTTCCCATACAGCTGAACAAATTCTGTGTATTTTTATTTTCCATGTCAAATTTGACTTATTATCAGAAACCGAATTCAATGGCAATTGGGAAATCAACAGCAATACCGGTTAGAATAACTTAACACTTCAAATCAAGAAAGAAATTGAAGAAAAACAAAACAATACCGCATCACAACATATGTAATTCAAATAGATCATCCACCACAATCCACACAAATTAATTTATCACACAAATCCAATGTAAGGTAATTAACAAGGTAGTAATTAATTTAAGTCCTAAGAAACGGAGAACCTTCTCCTTCTAGGTTTGGTAATATCCGCACAATAATTATCATCTATATGAGATTAATTTAAAATTTGATGGTTTAGCATCATGAAAATAAAAGAAAACTAATGACAAATTCTTAACACATGCACACTCTAGCGATAGGGTATTTAAGTCTTTTCCCTAAATGTTTTTTTTTCCTTATGAATTTTCCTATTTTATCTTTATATTTTGAATATTCAATAAAAATAAGATTCCATGTAATGATTTTTAATTTATTTCTTTCCCTTTTTAGATCTTCCAAAACAAATATCAATTACCAATGTATGTAACAAAAATGTAATTATTAATGTAAAATGACCAAATCTTATTGTTTTATTCAAAAGATGGTGTGTAACGATAAAATCTTATTAATTAATGTCAAAATTAATTAATAAACTATGATAGTCAAAATTAATCTTATTAATTTTAGTGGTGGTGGATAAACTATGAAATTTTGATTTTTTTCACAAATTTTATCAAAATTAAGATTTTTTTTTATTTACTATCATATATTCTCTTTCTTTAAGCCTCATAATCACTTGACCTAACGTTCTAAAAATATTTCTCATACCCAACATCTCACCTAAAAGCTTAAGCTTATAGGTGAGATCTCATAATATAATTTATAATAGTCTCTAACGAGTCTCAAACAAACCTTAAGGTAATTGTAAGATGTCCATGTCATGTTCGATCCCGTAATAAAATTTATATACTTTTTATATACAGGTAGTATTTACATAAAATTTATCCATTTATATTAACTATATATTTTATTTTTTTTACCAAAAATCAGATTGAGTTAAAAGAACCTATACATGTGCATTAAGGCATTAGTGTATGATCCTTCCTAATATTTCAATTCTAGAAATTTTAGAATACAATATGCTTGAGATATGATATCGAAAAAAATATTAAAAAAATATTCTTATTTTATTAATTTTTTTAAAAAATATACATAAATAATACAAATAAAAATAAGTATAAAAACTAATTACAATTGTTTAAAAAAGTATAGAAATTATAAGACAAAATCTTTAAATCACATGACAAAAGAAACAACAATAGATTCACATGAATGGGACAGACCATTATACAACAAGCAACAAATACAAAAATATATATTATTGATGAAGAGTGACCAGATGTTCGTTTGAAGAAAGAGAAACCAATAAAAAATTGATGAACTCAACATTTGTTGTTTAGTTTTTTTTTTTTTTTTTTTTTGAAATACAATAATTTATTAATATCAAATTAATATGTAATAAATTATTTTTTTAACATCTGATACGAAAGAAAAAGATGAAAAAAAAAACAGTTTTGATTAATTATTATCTTCTAGGTAACATCTAGTCTTTTCATACATTAAAAAAAAAAAATAGAGATCTTTAAACTTTTCAAATCAAGGTTTTTTAATACAAGAAATTTTTTTTTATAAATCACATACATATATAAATTTCTTCCTATCATATAACAATGAGAAAATGAATCGTACTATCACGCTCAATTTATAGATTGATGAAAGATTTCGATGAATTGAAGTCAAGACATGTAGGCGGGGAAAGAGCTGTAGGAGGAAGAGTTTTCAAAATAACAGAGCTAAATTAAATTGATCGTTGGAAATACATTAACCAACGGCTACTTTTTCCATTACTAGTTCTTCTAAACTGTGAGAATTTGTATTATTTTTTTTTCCAAGATGTGCGGCTTGTGGTAGAGATAAAAGAAAGAATTTGAGAATGTTTGTTAGCATTAATAAGCGTGATTTGCTATGTGTTATTGGGTCCAAGCTGGAAGTGGTTGATGATAGGATTATATATAGATGCTATTTAATTTGGCATCATTCTAATCGGGGTTGGGTGGCTATCTGTTCCTTCTCTTGCCTTTCTAGTGGAATGATTTGCGTGTGCAATTCTTACTCTTTTCAGATGTTTTACATACTTTTTCAGATGTCTTTTTCCTTGAATAAATCAGGGTTGGGTGGCTGTTCCTTCCATTTTAAACATCTAAAAAAATGGTGATCATGAATATATAGTGCAACTGACAATGGGTTTTGTTAATCATTGCCATTATTTGTGTTTGAGTTGGAGAGAAGAATTGAAAATGAAATTGGAGGAGAAGTAAAGATTGAATTCTCTTTATATGAAAAAGTTGTTACAGAAGTCACAATCTCCTATTCTCCTAAGCTATATATACAAAGTTAAAGAAAAGAACGAAATTGATTGTAACTGACTTGCTAACTACTAAAACTAATTTAACTGTATGATAAGTAGATCTAAAAGAAAGCTAATAGCTAATAGCGACGTGTTTTTTTTTTTATAATAATTTATTCAGAGAAAAATAAAAATGACAATAGATTATTTCGTTTTAATAAAAAATTCATTTGTTTGATTGTTGTTCATTAATTTGATTGTCAGAGTTTCACATGATTTGAAAACTCAAACAATTAAACGAATCTTCATAGATAATTTTATATTAGTTTCTAGTACTTGAAAAATCTCAAATGCATCTTATAATTTTGCTGTTCGGTGATGTTAAAAAAGGTCTCATTTTTTTAGCCGAAGGATCTGCAGTTGGGTGTCCCAAGTCCCCACAAATCAAAATCATATAAAAGCACTAGAATGTCAAAACATGAAATATGCCAGAAAAGATACCAACCAAGCAGAATCAAGCTGAGGAATGGGCAAATGTTTTTCTTTTTTTCCATCTAGAAGAGAGAGTAAACATCGCTGTACAATGCCCTTGCATATCAGTCGCTTTCATGCACTTTTTCCCGTCAAATAGCTTCCATGCATCATGGCATGGGGTGCGTGCCGTACAAAAAAAAAAATCATCTAGCTTGTGCCGATCGTGGAAAAACTTTCACTAGGAGTGACATAGAGATCATAAATAATCAAGTTATGTGTACATTATTTAATCAGTTTTAGTATAAGTTACAATCCTCCATACTGATAAAAGCAAACGGGCTTAAAATTTCTCCATCGAAAAATGGGGAATCAGGGTCCACTGAGGGTGCCAAAAAATCATTTGGCATGAAATAATCGTCAGACAAGAATGGTTCGGTCCAGAAATTTCCACTGGGGGGCTCATATGCTTCCAAGAAAGCGAAATCGTCGTCAGAAATGAGGTCCATGTTTGTTGCTGTTGTGTTGTCAGTGGTTGAAAAATCACTAGACGAAGCTTGAGGAGACAATGCACTTGTGGGGCTTTCAATTATTTCAGGGATCGTAGCAGCATTTTGTGTATTAATGCCTGTTTCTTCTGTGTCTTTCTCTTGGCCCTTGTCATTTTGAGACAGATCATCGTCTGAGGACGTTTCTTTTGCTTCCCCTGATTTTTTTTTCAAGCGTTTCTTCAGATTTGTGTGCCAATGGTTCTTTATCTCATTGTCAGTTCTCCCTGGTAACTGGGCAGCAATAGCAGACCATCTGGATATGAACAGACATAGTAATGCAAATAATGTCAAGCCATGTAACAAAAGAGAGACATGGCAGTTATCTGAAACTTACGTTTTTTTACTTTTACATGAACAAAAAATACTTTTCTAAAATATTTTTGAATCCACTTGTACGTCAAACAAGATTAAATACTTTAACTTTGATATAAAAGAAAAATATTAAGATTTTGATACCTTTGGCAGAACGTAGTGTAATTTTTAAAGTACCAAAACAAGGGAAATGGTGACTCCCGTTTCCAAGAAATCCAACAGCTAGAATGGATACAAAATAAGCATGTGCGTTCACCTTGTGACGCCCAAAAAATAATGTTAACTAAAATAATATAATTTAAAGGAGTTTAATAATAAGAGAATACGTACGTAGTGTTTTTTCTAAATATTAAGGAACATGACATTAATTTAACCCTTGTAGTTTGAGAATAAAGAATGATACATTATTATTAACTAGTCTAAAGTTAAGGAAATTTTTTTAACATGTTGTTTAATTATGCTAATTACCATGTAACATTCATATGATCCTATGAACTCTCACATACATGTACTTTAGATAAAATTCCTGTACAAACTGAATGATTGTGATGCATCAATATGTGCGTAATTAGAAAGTTTCATGTGATACTGTATTTTTTCTTGTCCTTTTCTTTTGCCTTTTTTAGTCTGAAAGCAATGATTTTGTCTTAATAGAATCAATCAGTACCTGTTTCCCAATGTTTCATGCAAGTTAATGATGGTTTCCTCTTCTTCTTTAGTGTAATTCCCTCTCTTGATATTTGGTCTCAGGTAATTCAGCCATCGCAATCTACAACTTTTGCCACACCTCTGTAGACCTGAAATGAAATTAAGCAAATGTGATCAATGGATTGATTGTGATCAATTCAATACCATTCAACACTACTTCAAGTCAAACCAAGTTGAATGCATCTGCTAAAGAAATCTTGGCTCTACACTTTGGCTGCTCCAAATTGTAATGAAAGAAATTCAAAGTAAAATGGAGACCCTAGTTGAATTTGTATATAAATGCTGAATCTCAGGTGATAAATAGATCGATCAGATTCAATTCTTCCACAAAGTTTTTTTTTTTTTTTTTTTTTTTAATCTTCAGTTTCTGATCGAGCTCTCATTTCGAAAAAGTATGGCTCTCAAATGCATCAGAACATGTAGAATATTTGGAGTTTTTTTTGATTGTCAGAATGAGGAGGAAAATAAGAAAAGTATTATAATCATTAATACTATCACATACCTGCATACTTGGGAAGTTGTCTCCAATTCCAACAGCCATATCTAGTAACATAAGCCATTAGCTTCCTATCTTCTTCTGGTGTCCATGCACCCTTCTTTAGTCCAGTTTTATCACAGCAAGGAGTTCTCACCATTCTCACAGTACTCTCTCTCTCTCTCTCTCTCTTCCTCTGTGGCTGTGCCTCTCAAAAACTCCAATTTCTTTGCACCTCGTATGTCTTTGATTCTGCAGCTAGCTAGCTATTTATACCACCCACCCGCAAGTCTGTAAAAAACGTGTTCCACGCTAGATTTCACGCTGCCACAGTGTTCTTGCTAACGTTTTTCTTGGTTACTTTTCTACGCTCATATAATATATTTTATCTTTTGGAGGGTTCAACAGGATCCCTTAAAAAAAAAAAAAACAAAAAACAAAACAAAACAAAACAAAACAAAACTAGATCCACTAATCCCTTTATTTATTTTTTATTTTTAATCACTATATGGAAATAAGAGAGCCTTTTCTGTCCAATTTAGCTTCGTGGAAATAAACAATTTCCTTGATATGGAGTACCACGTGACGCACCAAACCATTTAAAAAGAAAATTAATTAAAATGTCAATAGATCTGATATGATTTGATTTACATTTGGTTATGTGGTGTCTATGACTAGAATTGACTGAAAATTTTAATCTAAATGTATTACCACATGTTTCTTCTTTATTTGGTGTTGTTAATCTACAGTTGATCAACCTGCAAATGAAAAATAAATAATAAAAAATATAAAGATACATTTATAATAGTGTACTCTTTACAACATTATCATATTGTATAAGTTCTATACGATATAAAAAAAGTTACAGTAATTAAAGATTCTATAATTCAGTAGTAGTAGTTTCTTGTAATAAGAGGTCACGGCTTTAAATCCTAACAAATTAATTTTGTTAAAAGCCTTAGGTATATGAGCTGAAAAAATAAAAAATAAAAAATTATAGTACTTTATAATACAAAAATATTAATATATGTACAGAAAATTACGACATGTAATATAAAAAAAAATTTATAACTTAATATTGAGTGATCGCAATAGGTGGTTGGATAATAAAAAAATTATTTTAATATTTATGAGATTTTAGGTTTAAAGCTTTTCATATCTTATTTTTTAAGAATATGATGAATCATGGAACACTATATATCATAAATCTATGTTTTAGAACATACGTTTTTAGTTGAAGTTCTATAAGTTCATTAGTTCAAAAAAAGGAAAATAAATAAATAAAATAAAATAAATAACCATCACCAAAGGTTCAAACTCAACGTTTACCATTTAACATGAGCTTGTACTATTTTATTTATTTCATTTCTGACGTTTAATTATGGTGACATTATGGTGTGTTAGGAAAATAACATAAAGCTATTTGTGGAATTTTATCTAACAATTTAAGATTTCTTTTCGTATCATTTGTTATTTTTAAAACATTGATAACAATAATAATAAAAAAAAACTTGATTGTTTTGAATTATTTATTGCAAAAAAAAATAATAATAATAATAACTATTTACAATTTTTGAAAAAAACTATTTTGATTGATTTTTTACGTTTCCAAAAAAAATAATTTTCTTTTTTATATTTTCAAATTTGATAATGTAAAAAAACGAAAATAATACCAAACATTCTCTGAACTTGTAGACTTGTAGTTTAAGTAGTTCTTAGCACAATGGTATGATAGAATGAATTTTTTTTTATTTAAAAAATAATATAAATTATATCCCACCCCTTTCACTCAATAAACTAATTAAGATTTTGATTTGAAATAATTATTTGATATAATATCATATCTTTAATAATAAATGGTCACGAGTTCAAATTACATCATCTCCACTCTCTTCTAGTTAAATACATAGTAATAATAAATATGTGTAAATTTTCAACCCTTTGTCCTTTGACACTAGATCTGTAAATCTTAGTTTCGAACTCATATTCCAATTTGCATTATTGAATACTACCAAGAACTCTTTTCGAGAATTATTTTTTCAATTGATGACAACTGATTAATAAACATTTATAATTGCAAATGGAACTGATGAGATAATTTATTTTAGACCTCGATCAGTAACAACTTACAAGTCTTTTCTATTGATGAATAACATGTATGTTTAAGTTATTCCATAAAGGAAAAATCAAAATCAAAAGAATCTTATAGTATTTTATTAGAAAAAAGGAATCTTATTTCGATTCAAATCTTTTGCTCAAAGATCATGAAAATCATAAATTCTGTCTGTTACTTCTTAATTATCTCCCCACATGTTAAGGATATCTCACTATATTTTGTTTTATACCTAAAACCAGTAGAAAAAAAAATTAAACTCTTGATCATGTCTGATTAATAATGATTAAAGACAGTAATGCTATGAGGTAATCACTGTTTTCTGTATAATAAAGTTAAAAATAACAATGATTTAAGGGTAAAAAGCACCACTTCACGTGAGTCAAACCAAATTTGTGATACGTGCTAGCTCTTGAACCACGAGTTGCACCAGTCCATGACAATTCACAAAGCATCTTTCACAGTTAAAGAAACGACGAGGAACCATCCAGAAGCTAGTTAAAGAAAAAAATATTTATATATATATTTCTTTCAGATTGCAATTTCTTTTTGTGCAAGTGTGGAGTTATTATTTTCTGAACAAATCTACTCCCAAATCCTGCAGTAACTTTCACAAGATGTCACAATAATTTTTGGCTAATTAACATCCTTGACTAACATATTTATGCGGCGAGATTTTTATTTTTATTTTTTTGCTCAAAATAATCTTTTCAATCCATAAACTTAAATTAAAGTTTACGTTCATTAAAAAAGCAGTAGATCTCACATAATTTATACGAGTGGATTGTTAAGAAGTTGTTTGTAATAGATCCTTGTATGTATAAAAATTACATAAAATAATAGACATTATTTCTCTAAAAGTTTATACTATTGAGATATGAATCCGTCTTATATTTAAATATATATTTTTTTTTCATTTTTTATTCAAAATAAAGTATTAAAAGTGCACTCACAACGAACTCATGGTAATTTTTTTTATTCCTTAGAGGTCCATAAGTTTTTGGACTACACATACAATGAAAAATAGTTATTTTCTATTATATAATCATTAAAAAAAAAATTACTAAGACTCAATACTTATTTTATTAAAAAAAAATAGCTGAATACACGATCTTTATCTTGAATTGGATAGTCCTATATCTATGAATTGGATAGTACTATAACTGTTATTTGGTTGGCGGAGTACAGTTAGTACTTTTAGGAGTTGTGAAAGTAGCAAAAAAGGAAAGTGGTCATTTTCCAGTACTATAAGTGTTATTTGGCTGGCGGAGGACAGTTAGTACTTTTAAGAGACATGAAAGTAACAAAAAAGGAAAGTGGTCATTTCCCATGTTTAAACCAGCTTGAAGACACTGTGACAGTACTTACGTATTGAAAGATGAAGATTGAAAGGAACAAGAGATGATGGCAAAGATGAAGGAAGCCCTAGTTTGAAAGTCAGTTGCTAAAAGGAGCTAAAAGACTAAACGGGGACGGCGCACTCATGCAACTGAAATTCTAACACAGTAAAACGTCCACACGATTTTTCCTGCAATTTTTCTCTCATGCGATTTTTGCTATTGGTGGAAGCACATGAATAACATGTTTGATTGGTCATCGTCATTAAACTATTTGATAAATTTTTTATAGGAGAAAAAAAGAAGGGGAAAAGGGTGCACTTGTAAGTCAAAAGCTGCCTCAACCGTCATTGCTACAGAAACAGCTAGGATCGGCCTTCCCTGCCACGTGAATTATGACATATTGTTGTCCTTTTTTTTTTTTTGGTCCTTTTTTCTCAGACCGTACGTGATTCCGACAAACTTTTTTATTTCCGAATCCAAATAATTGGAATTGCTAGTTTGTTTGTAATGGAGATTTTATTGAAAGAAGGAAAAAATCAACTAAGAAAGTTAGTAGAATAATAACATCTCTCCTTTCTCTTGTTTCTCTTAAAAAATAAACACAGTTTATCAAAGTATCATCTAATTAAAAAATTTAATTCATTATATAAAATTTTAAAATATGATTTATATCATTTTGTAACATATTTCTTTAGAATATTTTTTTTAAATTTGAAATTTATACGGACTCACGTTATATTGTACTATTATATTTTTAATTAAAAAAAATGAGAATTATGAGATTTGAATTCATGATGGTTTAATCATCAAGACTTTAATATCATATTAAAAAACTATTTTAATCTAAAAATTTAACCTCGTAAAGTAAAACCTCATGAATGATATTAAAGAGTAGCGTATATCATATTCTAAATTTTGGTTTAACAACTTAAGCTTTTCGAATTGAAAAGGTTCAATAGCTCCCAAAAGAGGTAACATAGTTAAAATTAAACAATTTCTTGTGTATTAACACCACACAAGGTGATAAGAAATAGGTAACTTAGGGCTCGATATATGAATAAGAAGATTATTGAGTTATCTCACATCAATTGCGAAGAGATTAAGTGTCAAGTTATAAGAGTAGAAGAAATTCTTACTCCTTAAGCTTTAGGAGTTATGTTATTCAATGATTTTTAAAATATGATTTATGTTACCGTCTAACAAGTGGCTTTATATGACTCCCTAACATTGATAATCATAATAGCTTTCGAGGTTAAGATATTTGATGATCTCTTAGAATATGTTTTATATTACTCTCTAACATTAATGATGACAATCTTTCATCTTCTTAGTTCTCTCTCTTTTTTTCTTTCTTTTCTTTTTGGCTAGTATGTTAACAGTTTAGATATAGGTTTTTAATATATATTTTATTTGCACATAAAGTTCCTACTTTGTTAACTTTTAAGTTGAGGTGGTTATTTGATACAGTGAGCCAATCTCTCTTCAACAAGCTCTCAGTGATATGGCAATTGAAAAGTTGGCTAAAATGGCAGATCGATTTCAGAAGCTAAGGACAATCTTAAAGCTGATGCCTAGAATCATGCAAGAAAGACAACCCAAATGGGCCTGCATCTTGTTACTACTATATATATGTTTGATTATTGAAGCTAGTTGTTCAAAGGGATCAGCAGCATATTCCCATAATTAAGCACAGTAAGAATCCTAAAT